TGCAATCCCCTAGACAAAAACGAGCAGGTAACCCATGCAGTGAGGGTAAAGCCCCACTGCATGGTAAAATAACATTTTTGCCCAGGGTTCTTTAAATCTAGCCCCACCCCCTTTCTAAGCCATATGCTAACAGCCTTGTAAAGGAAAGATGTGCATACTTACCTATACTGAAGGAACTCCAGCCTGGTCACATGATTGCAGACAACAGTTGCAGAGCCTGGGCAGTGACGTCACTCATAGACTTACTATGGGGCAACCATTGGCAGCTGTCAGCTGGTGCTGGGACCCGACCATGTGACCAGACTGGAGTGTCTTTAGATTAGATAAGTATAGACATTTCTCCTTTACAAAGTAGTTAGAATAGGCTTAGAATGGGGGTGGGAGTAGATTTAAGCTTAGTTATCTTTTGACCAGATCTCTACTTTAATGTCCATGGATTGATAGTAGAAGTTGTCAAGAGTTACTGGTAGAAGTGTGGGTGGAAAGGCATCGTTGTAGCAATTTTAGTACCAGTGCTTGGAAATAGAAGCTCCAGTTAAATCCATGATTTCATGCATTATACCACAAGCAAGACTGAAGTTGCAGAAAAATTTGGTCTGCTGGGCATCGATTCCATCCACTGACCAGAAGTGACCAGTGGATAGGACCACAGTGACAGGGCATTATTCCCCCTTTAAAAATGATTTTCTACTTTTTTCATTTTACTGAAGAGCAGTATACCCCCCATATGTATAAGGCATTCTGTTATAGGCCTTACACGCTTGCTAATCCCTCAAAATGTCTACCACTACTATGTATCATGTCTAATTGATTAAAATTGGAAACATTAGGTACCATGCACAGTTTGTATTAACACTGCTTCATTTGATCTTCTTGCAGATGTCACTGACCATGGGGTGCAAAGAGATGCCATCACACTTCAGACACAGAAGTCTACAGGACCATCGCTTGCAGTCAGCTCCTCCCCCATAGCACCCATAAACAGCCCTCTGCATCCTAACCCTTCATCACATCAGAGCCAACTCCACCCCACCACCAATCCACAGACTCACAATCCAATGAATGGCCACAACAATGATGCCTTTATGTATCCTCAGAGCCCCGTGCATGCAAGTACTCCTATAAACACATGCTGTCAACCAGTGCAAAATCAGCATAACCATGTCCACACCCAAAGTACAGCTGTGCAGACCCAAACCAGCATTCTTGTGCGTTCTGGCTCTGCGTCTTCAGCTATACAGAGGGCGCCATTACAAGCAGACCATTCAATACAGCCACAGAGTCAGTCAGTGCAGCACAGTGCTTTGGCAAAACAAGCACATAGTCCTAATCGTGCACATGTGCATTTCCACAGTCAGGTGAATACACAGAGCCCTGTTATACCAGGTAATAGCTATGTGCAACAAAAAAAGTCCCTCTGTGCAGTGTCAGAGCCCTGACAAGGGACATGGCTCACCTATCCAGGTGTATAATGGTGGGATGTCGCAGGAACAGAGGATACAGGCACGCACCATTGCACACACGCAGAGTATGAACGCTCATCCTCCTCCTGTACAGTCTCAGATTGAAGTCAAAGGCCCTGCTGCTGCGCAGGTACAGCCTGTAAGCCCACACTCCCCTTCACATAATAGTACCATCCAGATTGCACAGTGCCAGAATACACAGCCTTCTTCACTTGTAAATTCCTACAACCACACAGCTCAGACATCCACTATTGTACGCACACAGGGTGCACAGACTGGTAACCCCAAGCAAAATTCAGTCCATCTGCACAGCCCTATCAGAACTGAAGCACCGAGTATGCAGAGCAATAGTGGCATTCACATGCAGCATCAGACTGCACATGCAGAGAGCTGTGCACAGACACACAGCACAGTGCACACACAGATGTCTACAGTGACCCTACACAATCCAGTTCACAAACAGGGCCCCCAGCTACACAGCACAGTGCATATTCAAAGTCCAACTTTTCAGACATTCAAAAACCCCTGCAGTCAGGGACCAGCTGTACCAAGTAATGGACCAGTGCCCACACACAGTCCCTCATCACAGCCTTCCAGCCCTGGCACTGCAGACAGGTGAGTCTAAACCGAGACCACTTTGTACTAACCTTTCAAGGATGTTTACACACAGATGCAGATATATTTTTTTAGTTAGGCTGGCCATACACTATACAATTTTCTTAAAAATTTCTGTCCAATTTCTGCCCAATTTCCTTTAGATTTACCTTCAACTATGTAGTGCAAGAGCCTGCCTAATTGGATACAATTGAAAGCGTTGTTAGGTTTGACCTCATATTATTTGGTTTTTTTTTGGTAAATATAAAGCAAAAACCTCAAGAAAATTGTATAATGTATGGCCAGCCTAAGGCTGGCCATACATTATACAGTTTTCTTGAGATTTTTGCTTTAGATTTACCAAAACCATAAAATATGAGGTCAAACCTAACAACACTTTAATTCTATCAAATCAGACAGACCCTTGCACTACATAGTTGAAGGTAAATCTAAAGGAAATTGGACAGAAATTTGTAAGAAAATTGTATAGTGTATGGCCAGCCTAAGGCTGGCCATACATTATACAATTTTCTGTCTAATGTCTGCCCAATTTCCTTTAGATTTACCTTCAACTATGTAGTGCAAGGGTCTGCCTAATTGGATACAATTGAAAGTGTTGTTAGGTTTGACCTCCAATTATATGTTTTTTGGTAAATCTAAACCAAAAATCTCAAGAAAATTGTATAGTGTATGGCCAGCCTTAGCCTCCCACTTGTTAAGGGACCAAAAGTAATGGGACAGAATAATAATCATAAATCAAACTTTCACTTTTTAATACTTGGTTGCAAATCCTTTGCAGTCAATTACAGCCTGAAGTCTGGAACGCATAGACATCACCAGACGCTGGGTTTCATCCCTGGAGATGCTCTGCCAGGCCTCTACTGCAACTGTCTTCAGTTCCTGCTTGTTCTTGGGGCATTTTCCCTTCAGTTTTGTCTTCAGAAAGTGAAATGCATGCTCAATCGGATTCAGGTCAGGTGATTGACTTGGCCATTGCATAACATTCCACTTCTTTCCCTTAAAAAACTCTTTAGTTGCTTTTGCAGTATGCTTTGGGTCATTGTCCATCTGCACTGTGAAGCGGCGTCCAATGAGTTCTGAAGCATTTGGCAGATAATATTGCCCAAAACACTTCAGAATTCATCCTGCTGCTTTTGTCAGCAGTCACATCATCAATAAATACAAGAGAACCAGTTCCATTGGCAGCCATACATGCCCACGCCATGACACTACCACCACCATGCTTCACCGATGAGGTGGTATGCTTAGGATCATGAGCAGTTCCTTTCCTTCTCCATACTCTTCTCTTCCCATCACTCTGGTACAAGTTGATCTTGGTGTCATCTGTCCATAGGATGTTGTTCCAGAACTGTGAAGGCTTTTTTAGATGTCGTTTGGCAAACTCTAATCTGGCCTTCCTGTTTTTGAGGCTCACCAATGGTTTACATCTTGTGGTGAACCCTCTGTATTCACTCTGGTGAAGTCTTCTCTTGATTGTTGACTTTGACACACATACACCTACCTCCTGGAGAGTGTTCTTGATCTGGCCAACTGTTGTGAAGGGTGTTTTCTTCACCAGGGAAAGAATTCTTTGGTCATCCACCACAGTTGTTTACCGTGGTCTTCCGGGTCTTTTGGTGTTGCTGAGCTCATCGTGCGTTCCTTCTTTTTAAGAATGTTCCAAACAGTTGTTTTGGCCACGCCTAATGTTTTTGCTATCTCTCTGATGGGTTTGTTTTGTTTTTTCAGCCTAATGATGGCTTGCTTCACTGATAGTGACAGCTCTTTGGATCTCATCTTGAGAGTTGACAGCAACAGATTCCAAATGCAAATAGCACACTTGAAATGAACTCTGGACCTTTTATCTGCTCATTGTAATTGGGATAATGAGGGAATAACACACACCTGGCCATGGAACAGCTGAGAAGCCAATTGTCCCATTACTTTTGGTCCCTTAACAGGTGGGAGGCACATATGCAAACTGTTGTAATTCCTACACCTTTCACCTGATTTGGATGTAAATACCCTCAAATTAAAGCTGACAGTCTGCAGTTAAAGCACATCTTGTTCGTTTCATTTCAAATCCATTGTGGTGGTGTATAGAGCCCAAAATGTTAGAATTGTGTCGATGTCCCAACATTTATGGACCAGACTTTATGTAGTTTTCTATTCATCCAGCAAATGTGCTAGTCTCCTTCTCACATCAGTAGCATTGTTTTCTGTTCAGCTATACTGTTATGCTGAAAGAAGCCCTTTGTTAATGGAACTCAATAAGACATCAGAGCAGTGACTCATCCCTTACCAGACAAACAAGTCCAAGGTTTTTATCAGACAAACTGAGTCTCAAAGCAAGCTGCTCTGCTGTCTGTTGTTTGGCTAACCCATAATGCTCTGGGAATACCTTGTCTTTTATTAAATGTTTATTAGTAAAAACAGATTAAAAACAACCATATAAAAATGTATTAGCCTAGAAGAGAAATAAAGGTCACTCAAGCCATTATCATTTTTACAAAGAAAACAAGTAAAACTTTACTAGATAATAACTATCAAGGTATGACAAATACGATTTTTCATGGCTGTTACCTAATGCCAGAAAAAATGCTTTAAAATACTCTTTTGTTGATTGCTAAAAAATATAACCTTATGTAGCATTTGCTCAAAAGCTTTATACCAGGACTAATGTGTTTTCTCCTTTACAGGCCTGGAGTCCCACATTCTGACGTTTCGTCTTCAACATCCGAAGGATATTCATCCATTCCACAGTCTCCATCACATATACCCAAGACCGCCCCCCTGATCGCTGTTACTCCAATCACCTTGGAAAGCAACCAAGGACAGGTGTCAGTAAATCCTGTTTCTGTCTATACAGAAACATCCACTTCTCCTTCCATTCAATACAGTGTACCCACTGGAAGCATTTATTCTTCCCCTCCCCCTGCTATGCCGAATAACCCTGTTATACCTTTGAAGAAAAGTATTACAATATCCCTTCCTGACACACCCACCATCAGCCATGGAGGGGAAGTCCATACCAGCCCACCACTTTCACCAATGGGAAGCCAGACAGAGCTCCTGTCTCCATCTCCAACCCCATTGTTCCCTATAAGCACCGCTTATTATTCTGGGAGCCCTTGTCCTCCAAATGGCCAGCCACCAGTGTTGCCAGAAAAGTGCCATACTCCAGCTACAGGGGACAAATCTGGGACTCACGGAAGACCAAGACCGCTACAAGAAGACAAGTTACCCACAATTAAAGGTAAAATAACAAATGCCTACAACTTTCACCTAGTATATGAATGTGTACAAGAGTCTGAAATATTTCCTTCTTCTTTTTGACATTCAGATGTACAGCAGGATGCTCCTCTGGCTGCTAACTTTGTGCAGGATTCCTCTAAGTTTTGGTATAAGCCAAATATATCCAGGGAGCAAGGTAATGAAATCCTAATTTTTTAGCGCCTCATGTGGTCTGCATTGTGCTGCAGTCAGATGTTTTACAATAGGATGTTGCAAATATGTATCAGCATTCATCTTGCATTTGATTACTGATATACTGTATTAAAAAAAAGCAAGTTTCTCATTCGGTTTAATGTGTATCCAAACCCAAGAACAAAAATGTGATATATTGCAGCTTACCAGTCCTTAGATGTGGAGACTTTTTCACTTTAGTTTTGTCTGGTGATCCAGCCAGTAATTTACAATATTTCCTGTCCAAGGGTGAGTTGCCATACTTTATCTATGGAGGAGCAGAGTTGTCACCCTAGGACAGGAAGTTTGTTAGGGATAAAGAAAAAACTCCTCCTTCGCCTCCTTTCATCTGCTTAACATGGAGGAGGTTTTCTGTAGTCCACAGAGATAGCTGGGAACAATGCTAACTAATAATAGTCAGCAGAGACAGAAAGCAAAAGAAGTTATCAGCTTACTGGATTTCTAAAAGGATTATCAGGTAATTTTTGCACTTGTCAAATAGATATAACAAAACACTTTCAATGGTCCATTTAAAGTGGAGCTAAGGCCGTCCATAGTCTGTTCGAATGTTGGCCGGTTCAGTAGGAACTGGCCGAGATTCGAACCATGTGTTGGCAGGCTGAATGTACCAAGTTGATCAATTGATACTTGGGTACAACCAGCCTGCCATATTCACTTGCGATTATCGCTAGCAGAAGCTATATCAAAAAGGGGGGTAAAGGGGGGGATACTGATGCCTAAACATTTCTTACCTTGCAACCGGCACATAGAAGATGCCAGCGAGGGACATGACAAGGTAAGACCAAACTACTTTTAGTTCCGCTTTAAAGTGGTTACAAAGCCTAACTATTTTTACCTTAATGCAAGGAATGGTTAGGCTTTGTAACCACTTTAAGGCTCCATGCACACTAGTGTTTTTTTAAGCTCCTAGAAGCTATTAGCATTTTTTTTTCCGGCTCCTGGACGCTAAATAGTGTTATCCCCCATGTGTTCATGCACACTACTTTAGGCTATTAGCGTTTTTTGAGTTTTAGCATCTAGGAGCAGGGAAAAAAATAGTTTTTGTAGCGTTTTTTGGAGCATTTTTCCAGCAGAAAAAAAATACTAAATACTCCTAAATGCTGCTAAATGCTAATAAACACTACTAAAATGCTCCTAACTGCTTTTTTTCTAGCTTTTTTTTCTACATATACTGTAAAAACACTATAAAAAATGCTAACGCTCCTAAATGCTCTAAAACACTACAGGAAATGCTATTACCAACTTTTTTTATCCTGCATTTTTGGAGTTAAAAAAAAAATGCTAGTGTGCATGGAAGTGGAACTAAAGGTAGTTTATACCTTGTCCTGTCCCTCGCTGGCATCTTCTCCTGAGCGCTGGTTTTAAGCCAGCTTCATTGGGACAGGAGGCTGACATTCTGGTGCACTGGGATCAGGCTCTTGGGCAGCTCAGGTAACATGCCAGGGGACACTGCAAACAAGCAGGTAAGTGAAGTTAATTGCAGAAAAGATATTGTATGTCTCTTAAGCAATACAAATAACCTGCCTGCTCTCAAACCACAACGGAATTTTAGTTCCGCTTTAACTGTTTCCCAAAACAATTACATTCAATTTATGCTGTGAATGATAACTGTCACATGTGCCTGTGTTCTCAACTGAACTGTCAAGCCATCAAATAACTGGCATCAAAACTGATCACATGTGCAGTGATGTGGCAACTGTGGAACAAAAAGAAGCTAAGATAGCAGCTTCTTTGGCTGTAAATGAAAGGGGGGCTTAACCGGTCATAGACGGTGCAAATTTCTTTCCTGCAACCACAATTCCTCCGTCAACACAGACAGTTCTGACAGGGGAGTCCCTCCTGCCGAACAATTGTCTGCTCCTGGTGGGGGGGGCGGGTCCGCTGGGAGACGACAGTGGTTATTGCTAGTGGCTATAGCACTAAAGCACTGGGAGCCATTGGCTCCCACTGCTGTCAATCAAAGCCAGTGGCGAGGGAGCCAGGAGAGTCCTGCTGTCTGTGTCAATGGATAGAAGGGCTCAGGAGCAAGCATGCACAAGTGGCCACATAGGAAACGGCTTCCTATGGGGGCATTGGACAGAGAGGAGGAGCCAGGAGCACTGGTGGGGATCTGATAAGAGGAGGTTTGGGGCCGTTCTGTGCAATTCCATTGAAAAGAAGTTAATTGTTGGGGTTTTATACAGTTTTGTGTCTTACCAAATGATCACTTGATTGTAATAACCCTTAGACTCCATGCACACTAAGTTCAAAAAACGCTGGATAAAAATGGCTTCTAAAAGTGCCTTTTTTAGTAGCATTTTAGGAGTGGTTTAGGAGCATTAGCATTTTATTAGCGTTTTTACAGTAAGAAAAAAAAAGTTGTTAGGAGCATTTTTAGTAGCATTTAACTGCGTTTAGGAGCGTTTAGCATTTTTTTCTGCTGAAAAAAACGCTCCAAAAAATTCTACAAATCCATTTTTTTTTTCTACTCCTAGATGCTGAAGCTCAAAAAATGCTAAAAGCCTAAAGCAGTGTGCATGGACACATAGGATAACACTATTTACTGAAGCTCAAAAAATGCTAATAGCCTAAAGCAGTGTGCATGGACACATAGGATAACACTAATTAGCCTTTAAGAGCAGAAAAAATGCTAACCACAGCTTCTAGGAGCTTAAAAAAACACCAGTGTGCATGGAGACAAATAGAGAGAGATTCTCTTTCAACTACCCTTACCGAGACCATCGGTTCACCCTCCACTTAGATTTGAACCCACCCTGCAAAATAACAGCTGATTTTTAAAAGTTTGGATCTTTTGTGGCTATTGTAATAATAACTGGTTGCAGCCTAACTAACAAACCAGTACAGGGTACAGTAGGTACTATTGTTTTAGATTAGCTTCCTCATAAAACCTTGTTAATTATACTAACTTCTTTGACGTTAATTCACATTCATGCGATGACATTCAGTTTTAAGAATGGGAGTAGAAAATAACACTCACTTGGCTGAGAATAAGAATAATTTTGCAAAGTAAATGTGCATTATAGTCTTTATTAATTATGCATTTTACATTAACATCTTCTGCTTCTCATATTTCTGTTTTACTCTCTCTTTTAGCCATCGCACTTTTAAGAGGTGCAGAGCCAGGGTCCTTCCTAATTCGTGATAGTAACTCTTTCCGTGGAGCGTATGGTTTGGCCCTGAAGGTGTTTAGCCCTCCTCCCAATATGCCGACTCAGCCATGCAAAGGTAATCTGCCTCTAAGTTAATGTCCTCATTGGTAGCATTAGAGCCCACTTTCTATACAGTAAGTACAGAAAAGAAACACTTCCCCTTTAAAATAATCACATTTTGTTGCTTTGCAGCCTGAAATGAAGATAGACAAAGTCTTTGTTTTATCCAACTGTATTAATTCACTGCACCGTATAACATCCAAGTTCCAAATATTCAAAAACAGAGTTGGAAAAAGGATCATTCCCCTCCTTAAAATGACTTGTACACTCAATCAGGTGTAGCTACTCGCCTTCTCAATGGCACACAAAGCCACATGCCTTTCAACTGTGATCAGCTGTGGTCATTTTGATTAGTTCAGCATGAAAAGAGCTTTCCAGGAGCATTTCAGTCCCTGGTAGTGCAACTGCAGCAAACAATCCACTATGGGTGGCAAGGCACTGTTAATAGATCTCCGGGATAAAGTTGTGGACAGGCACAAGTCAGGAGATCAATACAAAAGAAATTCCAAGGCTTTATTAATGCCTAGAAGCACAGTGAAGTCTATTATTAGGAAGTGAAAGGTATTTGGTACAACACAGACCCTCCCAGGATCAGGACATCACTCCAAACTGGAGTGGCTGCCAAGAGACCTACTGTAACTCTGAAGCAGATGCAGGAATTGATGACAAAGAGTGGTCATTGTGTGCATGTAACAACAATATCACAAGTTCTCCACAAATGAGGCTTGTATAGGAAGGTTGCAAAAAAAAGAAAGCTACTCCTCAAGAAAGGCCACATACAGTCATGACTGAGCTTACCTTGAAGATTCTGAGGCCACATGGAAAAAAGATGTTGTGGTCAGATGAGAATAAAATTTAATTATTTGGCCTCAACACTAAACGATATGTCTGGGAGAAATCCAATACAGATCAAATCCAAATAACACCATTCCTACAATAAAGCTCAGAGATGGCAATATCCTGTTACAGGGGGATTCTCTGCAGCAGGGACTGGAGCACTTGTCAGGATAGAAGGAAAATGAATGGGGCAAAATACAATTAAATTCAAGAGGAAAATCTGCTGCCCTCTGCCAGAAAGTTGTCAATGGGAAGAAGGTTTATCTTCCAACATGACAATGACCCAAAGCACACAGCAAAAATAATCACACAGTGGTTGAAGGAGAAAAAGGTGAATGTCCTTTCATGGCCTAGTCATAGCCCAGACTTAAATCCCATTGAAAATCTGTGGAATGACTTGAAGACTGCAGTCCACAAATGGTTACCATGAAATGTAACTGAACTTGAGCAGTTCTGCAAAGAAGAGTGGGCAAATATTGCAAAGTCTAGATGTGCAAAGTTAGTAGAGACATATCCAGACAGACTATAGGCTGGAATTATGCAAAAGGTGGTTCAACAAAATACTGACACAAGAGGTGATCTTTTTTGCAACTCAGTGATTTCCATTTTTGAATTTTTTTGAAGTTTTTTTCTGACATGTTGGTGTTATAACTTTCACTTGGATGTTATAAGTAGCACTGAATAAATACAGCTGGATAAAACAAAAGCTGTGTCTGTCTTAATTTCAGGCTGTGATTATGTGATTATTTTAAAGGGGAATCATTCTGTTCTATACCCAATGTAACTCTATTCCTTCTTTCCTCAGATCCATTGGAACAGCTGGTTCGTCACTTTCTTATTGAGACAGGACCTAAAGGAGTGAAAATTAAAGGCTCCCCCATTGAGCCCCACTTTGGTAAGCCATAAATAGACTAAGGTAGCTGTCTGCATAAATGTTTTCCAAAGGAAGAACAGGTGCCTTTGGTTACAATAGTCAATCATATTCTCTATTTCATGCTTTCATAATGAGCTAGAACAATAACAAGGAAAATGTAATCTGTATTCTGTAATCATCATTGGGCAGTATAGTGGTTAGCATGTACTTAGTTCAAATCCCAGCTAGGACACTATCTACGTGAAGTTTGCATGTTCTCTCGAGATTTGCCCCAGATACTCCTGTTTCTTCACACACCCCAAAAACATGTTGGTAGGATTATTGGCACTAGTGTCTGTGTGTGTTTGTATGCAAGATAGGGAACTTAGCTTGCAAGATCCTTGAGGGCAGGGACAGATGTGAATGGAAAAGTATGAAATGCACTGTGTAAAGTACCATAAAAATACCTGTTATGGTGACGCTGACCCAACATGGATGGAAACAACATAAACCGAAGGGGATAGAATGGTTTACCTATTAAGGGTAGTATGGGTAAATTTTAGGTTAAAGGGAATGTAAGGCAGTACACTATGTGGCCGAACATTTGTGGACAACTGACCATCAAACATATCTATTTCAAAACCAGGGGCAGTAATATGGAGTTAGCTGCCCCTTTATGGCTATAACAGCCTCTGCCCTTCTGGGAAAGCTTTCCAGAAGCCAAAAGAGTATTTGTGAGGTTTGATGAAGATATTGGAGGAGAAGACCTGGCTCACAGTCAGCATTCCAATTCATTACAAAGGTGTCCAATTCCATCTTTGTGCAGTGGGGCAAAGTCATGCTGGAACAGAAAATGGCTTTCTAAACTGTTTTTATTAAGGTTTGAAATGCACAGTTGTCTTAAATGTCCCAGTACCGTGGTATTACCAGTACCTTTCACTGAAAAAACCTGATCTCCATCATTTGGTGAGCTGTCAGTATTACTTTAGTTATATAGCTAGGTGAGATTGTCTACACAAACTTTTGCACATATAGTGTATTTTGTTTATTTTTTGTCAGAACTAAAAAAATCCCCCCAAATTAAAAATCAGCAGCTACAAATACTGTAGCTGTTGACTTTTAATAAATGGACACTTGCCTGTCCAGAGATCCAGCTCTGTCCTCAACCGGGATGGTTCTCCACTGGTCTTCGGGTGCACCAGCAACATCAGGTTTACTAAGGCCTGGTGAATGGTCCTACAGTCTTCTGGGACCTGTGATGTGTCCCAGAAGGTTTCCGGCAAAGGGGTGGGGGTGGGTTGAACTTCCGCTTGGATCCCCTAGGTGATCCGGGCAGAAGTGAGAGTGGGTATCTAGTTTCCAAAAGTGGTAGAAGAGGGGAGAGGAGGAAGAGGGAAAGTGGAAATTTTGGGTGAAGTTCTACTTTAAAGACATTGTCTCTTTTTTTTTTTTAGGCAGCTAAATATAAAATACTGCCTATGTATATTTTCATAGACAGCCAGCAGATGGAGCTTTAGGTTCAGATATACACAGATATAAATCACCAATTTAAATATTAACTTTAAAAATATTACATTTACCAAAATTCGTTAATGCATGACTTTCAGTGGAAGGCCCATTTAATAAGCTGCCATGTTTTCATTTGTCCTTGGTGTAGGAATTGAGGTTTCTGTGCAGCAGTTTATCAGCCCTTCTTGCTGTATAGATTAGTGCATACAAGGCCATCCGTTTATACTTTTTTGACTTGTAGAGGTTTTTGCCTGGCCTTATATTATTCAGCAGAGTCTGCTCCCTTTCCCATCATTCCTGCTCCTGTGGCTGGATGGGATGTTTGTGGCTCAGACATGGGTTGATATAGACCATGGTGGGACTCTCATATTCTGTACATGCCCTGCACACTATGACATACTGCATATTATTCTTGGGGCTCTTCCTGCTAATAGGCACACTAAATTCTTGTCTCAGGACACATCCTCTAACAGAACCATGCTTGTTCAGTCCAATCATTCATTATTTTGATCATATCTTTAAAAACTAGTATGCTGCTTTTTAAAAACACATTCAATTGATTCTCTCAAGGACTCATTGAAAATGAATATTTTTCACAGGCATCACAACAGTACAGGAAAAAAAGATCAACTTAATAACGTGATCATAATTTGAGTATGATTAAAAAAATGTGGCTGGCATATTGAAAGAATAAAAATCTGATCTAATCTAATAGAAATCAACACAAAATGGAGGGCTTGTGATGAGCCTCTGGGCAACATAATTTAGTTTTCTCATGTCTGGATCCTGCACATTTCTACTTCTCCTGGGAAAGCAGCTAAATATTGTGGTGTTGATAAATGTTCTAAACTGTGTACAGGAGATGTATGGCCATTGTATAGAGAGTGGAACATCACAGGTCCAGGGATTGGAAGTAGAAAGGCTATGCTGGTCAACAGTTGCAGCAATGCCCATAATTCTGCTAAGCATGTACAGAAAAACTTTTAAAAGTTAACTGTGATGAAGTGAAATACCTATATGAAAAGCCTTAGATGAAAGCTGCAATTGTCTAACTCCTGGATTGTATGCAGAAGTCACAGGACACTAGTACCACCCAGAGTGAAGCTGTTCAGCCTCACTGCCCTATATACAGTCTGTAAATCAGATAAAGGCAAGGCCCAACTGTAACATCTCTCAGATTAATTTGGCCTTGTGACAGATTACCTTTAGGTCAAAAGATCCAACATTTCTGCTTTTTAATTGGTAGCCGAGCAAAAATAAATTTTTGCTTCCAATGACCTTCTTATTAAAGCGGAACTTCACTTTAAAGGCCCTCAATGCCCTCCTTCTCCCTCTCTCTCTATCTTTGCCACTTTTTTTTTCTTGGGGGGGGGGGGGGGGCAGAGCAGGTACCTGGTTTTGACAGGTACCCACTTCCATTTCCAGTCAAATCACCCTATCACAGTATTTGTAGGTGCTGACGTTTACATTTTTTTTAAACTGGGTGAAGAACCGCTTTAAATGTTTGACAGAAGTGCAGTGAGTAATGTGTAGGCATAATGACATTATACCATAGGCCAGCATTTCTCAACCAGGGTGCCTTCAGGCTTCTTCAGGGGTGCCTTGGCAAAAAGCTCAAAAATTGTATACAAGCCAGCAGGTGGATCAATCTTGCCTTTTAGTACACAAAGCCACAGGTTTTCATTGTGCCCTTTTTTTACCTTCTAGCTGCCCGCATCCTGACAACCAATGACATCATCAGTTGATAAGGTGGACGTTGGGTGCAGGCACATCATCCTTGTTTGGCCCTCCCCTGCCCCTCTCCGTCAGCACTGGGGTCACATTAGCAGATTGAGGTAGAGAAAATGAGACACACACTGGAATACTAGTCAGTATCAGTGTGCAAAGGTGTATTTGCTTTAGAAGAATAAATCAACTCTAACACTGCGTGTCCTGGATGTGTGTAGAATAGGTTTTTACAATTTTAGGTTGGGGTGCCTTGAGATTCCGCAGAATTTTAAAGGGTGTCTTGAGATTATCCATAATTTTAAAGGGTGCCTTGACTGAAAAAAGGTTGAGAAACGCTGCCATAGGCAATAGCAGATAATTGGCTTAGAAACATATTCTTCTTGTATTCAAAAACTGGAAAGATGGTATTACCTGTTTGGAGGAGAACTTTAGTACAGGAAATCCCATGTCTAGGTTTCAGGGCTCATTCACACCAGGTGCAGTTGGATGCATTTTTGACTGCACTCCAACTGCATAGACAGTGGAAAATCCAGGTTATTTTATGTGTATAGTTCACACCATTGCAGTGCAGTGAAAAAAAAAGTCCAGCGTGCTGCATTTTCAGTGGGAAAAAAATGTGCAAAACCGCTCGCAACATGTAAACACACGCAAATGCACTGCAACACTTCACAGTGCACATAGATTCCCAAGGAAATAAAGAAGAAAGTGACCTCACAGGACAGATGCAGATAGAAAAATGCACATCAACTGCATGTAAACAGGCATTAAAACACGCATCAAATGCATGCAAATATGCAAAGGAAAAAAACCGCACAGTAGATGTGCAGTTTTTAGTGTAAATGGGCTCTTAGTGTCCAGTTAACATGGTCTTGTAATCAAATTTGTCCAAAATGTACAAGTATATTTCATCAACAGAAAATGTACTAACTACAAACCGAAAGGAGAAAGCAGAGTTTTGCAGAGTTGAGGGAACAGAAGGGTAGGATGAGAGGGTTAAGGTAAATGGTAAAGGGTTATTTTGTAGAATTGTAGACCTTTTTTTACCTTCTGACTATTGAAAGGATAATTATAGTGATGCAAATGACTATCATACAAACTTTTGGTGTCACTGTTTTAAAATGACCAGTTACATAGTTAGTCTGGCTGAAAAAAAAGACAAAAGTCCATCCAGTTCAACCATAGAAAAAAAAAAAAAAAAAAAGTTATAATCCTATACCCACAGTTGATCCAGAGGAAGGCAAAAAAAAAACCCAGCAAAGCATGATCCAATTTGCTCCTGCTAGTTAAAAAAATTCCTTCCTGATCCCCAGAGAGGCAATCGGATATTCCCTGGATCAACTTTACCTATAAATGTTAGTATCCAGTTATATTCTGTGTATCTAAGAAACAGGCCTTTTTTTTGAAGCAATCCACTGAGCTGGCCAGAACCAACTCTTGAGGGAGTCTACTTTACATTTTCACAGCTCTCACTGTGAAGGCCCCTTTCCATGTTTGGAGATTACATTTCTTTTCCTCCAGACATAAAGAGTGCCCCCTTGTCCTCTGTGATGACCTCAGGGTGAATAGCACCTACACCGAGTTCACTATATGAACCACTGATGTATTTATACATGTTGATCATATCCCATCTTAATCTCCTCTTCTCAAGAGAGAATACATTCAGTTCCTCTAATCTTTCCTCATAGCTGATCTCCTCCATGCCTCGTATCAGTTTAGTTGCCCTTCTCTGTACTTTCTCCCGTTCCCCAATGTTCTTTTTGTGAATCAGTGTCCAAAACTGAACTGCATATTCCAGATGAGGTCTTACTAATGATTTGTACAGGGGTAATAGGATATCTCTCTCTCTGGAGTCTATACCTCTTTTAGTACAAGATTTCAGCATCTTCAGCATGTTGGAATGTATGGCCATGAAGATAAATTATACAAATTCAAGACTGCTTGTTTATGATTATTTATTACATGTTGAACATACACCTGGCCAGTGTTCTAAAGATAGATGACCATTTTTATTTATATTCTCTTATATACTGTATATAATGTTCTAGCCACAAAAAAAAGAGTGCAATGGACCTGGTGAATGGTGTTAGTACATTGGGTCGGTGGACACTATCTAGATGAGCTTATGCTGTACAGGTGCTTAATATTACCATGACTGTGGTCCATCACACTCGTGTATAGTATATCTACTTGCCGACCAGTCACGTACCTGGTATGTCACCGGTCTTCAAGTAGTTGTACTGGGATGATGCCTGGTACGGTTATTTAGAGCCGTCTGTTGGTAATAGCAATAGGAGCGGCTAACTAGCCTATTGAATGTTATTGCAAGCAGCAGGAGGGGACACCCCTCCCTCTCGCTGCTTTCCTCAGCTTGCTCGGGCTCTTCCATCCCACTAGGAGACCTGCGCATCCAGCTGGCGGATCTGCCGGTTGCTCGAACAGCCGAACAAAGCCAGGATCATAACTGATCGGTTCTCTGGTATGGTAACCCGAAGCGATGACCTGTCATCACTTCCGGTTTACCCGAAAGTCAATGGCACCATTTTTAAAAACTCAAAAGCTTTTGAAAAAAACACAGATCTTGGTGTTTTGAATGCTTTTAAGTGCAGAGGAGGGATTTGGGCCTTATAAACCCCAGATCCCTCCATAAAGAGTACCTGTCGCATGCCTATTGCTGTCACAAGGATGTTTACATTCTTTATGACAGCAATAAAAGGGATAAAAAAAAAATTAAAGCAACAGTGTAAAAATAAAAAAAAACAAAATAAATGAATAATTAACAAAAATATATAAAGTGCCCCTCCCCTCCATGCTTGCATGCAAAGGCAAACGCATGCATCGATCCTACATGCATGCAAACAATGATCGTCCCACACATGTGAGGTATCACCTTGAACTTCAGATTATGGGCAGTAATTTTGGCACCAGAACTCCTCTGTAAATCTAAAGTGGTAGCCTGTAAAAACCTTTAAAGCGTCTCCTATAAATAGTAAAATTTACATTGTTTCTCGCCAGTACAGAGGCGTGTGCAGTTTGCGTGACATGTTTTAATATCTATTTACTCGCCGTAACATCATCTTTTTATACTTTACTAAACAATTGGGTATTATATTGTGCTTTTTTGCATTAAAATTAAAAAAAAAGTGTAATTTCTTAAAAAAAATTGCATTTGAAAAACCATTGCACAAATATCATGTGAATTAAATTAATTCCAAAACCCACTAATTTATTCTCTAGGGCCTCTGCTTTAAAAAAAATTCTAATGTATGGGGATTCTAAGTAATTTTCTGGAAAAAAAAAACCTGATTGTTATATGTGAACAAAAAGTACCAGAAAAAGCCTGGTCCTTACGTGGATATACTGATAACCACTAATGGGTGTCAACTTTTTGATCAACCATGGTCTCTATGTTTTATAGGAAGCCTGTCAGCTCTGGTATCGCAGCATTCGATCACACCTCTGTCCCTGCCCTGTAGACTGCGGATTCCTGACAAAGGTAGGTGAACAGCCACTATTCAAGCTTCCTGAAAGAGCCAATTTGTGGACAAGCATGGTAATTGAATGGGGAGTAGCTCACTATTTGATATTAAATCTGTTTCAATGAAGTATCCTGTACACTACTTAATGGATAAATTCAGCTTTACGAAAAAGTACACTATGCTGTCCCATATGGGTAGAGAAGCATAGTGTGCTAAACCTACCTAGCAGCTGGGGCTCCCTTTCTGTTTAACTTCTTGCCGACCAGCCACTGTAGAAATACGGTGGCAGGGCGGCACGGCTAGGCAAAACCACGTTTTAAAACGTGCGTTTGCAAAACAGGTAGGGGGCACGCACGAGGCACGTACCCGCCATACCTGTCCCACCGATCGCGGCCGTCAGTCGCCGGGTCATGGCCGGTCATTACCGGCCGTGTCCCGCCGATTAGCGGCAATCACTGACAGAGAGCAGGGCTGCAGTAGCTCTGCTTTCTGTCAGTCCCCTGTCAGCTCCTGACATGCTGATCCGGAGAGAAGAGTTTATCTCTCCGGATCAGCGGTGTTCCCGTGCAGTACACACCCCCCCCCCGACCCCTAGTAAAACACTCCCCTCACACAGTTAACCCTTTCAGTAAATAAAAAAGTTATCCCCTTCCTCCCCAGTGCTATTAGTACAGTGTCAGTGGGGTTTTTTTTTTTTAGCACTGATTGGTGTCATTGGGGACCCCAAGTCAGTTCCCCCCCCAGTGTCAGAATGTCCGCCGCAGTCCTACCATAAGTCGCTGATCGCCGCCAAAAGTCACTGATCGCCGCCATAAGTCGCTGATCGGCACCATTATTAGTTTAAAAAAAAATTAAAAATCCCAGTAACTTTCCCGCCATTTGTAAACGCTATAACTTTCACGTAAACCAATTAATTTACACATATTGTTTTTATTTTTAGCAAAGACATGTCGCAGAATACATTTTGGCAGAAATTTATGACTAAATTTGATTTTTACATTTATTTTTACTGGACATGTTTTATAGCAAAAAGTCCAAAATATTGTTTTTTTTCCTCAAAATTGTCAGCCTTTTTTTTTTATAGCGCAAAAAATAAAAAACGCACAGGTGATCAAATACCACCAAAAGAAAGCTCAATTTGTGGGAAAAAAAGGATGTCAATTTAATTTATGTACCGTATTGCATGACCGCGCAATTGTCCGTTAAACTAGCGCAGCGCTGTATAGCAAAAAAATGGAGTAAATTGCAGTATCTATACCATAGTTTGTAGACGCTATAACTTCCACACAAAGCAATCAATATACACTTATTGGGATTTTTTTTTTTTTTACCAAAAACATGTAGCAGAATACATTTTGGCCTAAATTTATAACTAACTTTGAGTTTTTACTATATATTTTTTATAGCTGAAAGTAAAAAATATCGTTTTTCTTCAAAATTTTTGGTATTTTTTTGTTTATAGCATGAAAAATAAAAAGCGCACAGGTGATCAAATACCACCGAAAGAAAGCTCTATTTTGTGAAAAAAAGAACGTAAATTTAATTTGGGTGCAGCATTGCATGACCGCACAATTATCAGTTGAATTAGTGCAGCGCCGAGTAGCAAAAAGATGCCTGGTCATTAAGGGGGGTAAATCCTCAGGAGGGCAAGTGGTTAAACAATGGAGTCCACAACCACATTTAGAAGAAGCCCCTTAAAGTGATTATAAACCCTCACCTTGTAACCCATTCAGTTTAAAATAGAAATCAAAGGTAAAACATTTGTGTATACATATAAAAATACTGAATTGCTGTGGCTTCTATTGCACACACTCTGAGAATCTCACAGTGTGCATTGAAATCAGTGTCAGCAGTTTCAGTGCAGGAGAGTGTACAATTAAGGACAGTTATGCATTAATATTTAGAATATAATTAGGCATCCCAGGGCCTGTACATCTAAGGAATTAACACCTTGCTACTAACAAGTCTCTGTCTGAGTCCAGGGCCACTCAATGGTGTGTGAGTGCTGCATGAACAATCACATTCAAGTGACTGTCATTAGCTGCGGGAGCCAGCAGCCTCTCATTGCTTTCAATGAGGCTGCCTCCCGCAGCTGATCACAGGAAACCTACGCTGTGGTTCTCATATGTGAGGTACAGGCCCCAGTTTCTTTAATGTATCAGTTACACTTGGCCCTGCTCTTAACTCCAAACCTACCTGCAGGTTAGTGAAGTCACCCATGAAATCAGTGGACCAAATACAAGACAGAAGGCACTAAAGCCAAGCTTGACTTTTTTTTTCTTTGACAAAATTTACTTTAACAGGAAAAGTGAATCTTTGCCTAGATTGTGCCTTTATCTACAGGTCTATTTATCATTTTAACATGTAACTTTCACCAATTTACATTTAATAAATTATCTTTTAATCTATCCTATGTACAGATCTGGCTGAACAGACTTCTGATGTCGTTGTTCACACTAACATGAGCACAGCAGCAGACTTACTGCGACAAGGAGCTGGTATGTGAAAACCATTTTTGATAAGTCATCTTTGCATTATTAGATAAAATCTCCTTGCTGTGTATTACTTGCTTATTAAAAGAAGATAAGTAATGCACTATATAATAGGGAGGAAACATTTGGCGATACCTGGTACCCGGGGATGGATTTGACATGCTCTCCTGCATAATCAAGAGATGTTGCATCTCCCACAACCCAGGACTGACCTAAACCTAATAGGGAGGACCCATGGCTCATCTTTCCTGGATTGGAACATGAAGTGCATTTACAGGCCCTTTACAACATGCGTTTTGGGTACCCCAAGACTCTGTCCTTGGGCCCCTCCTTTTCTCTCTCTACACCTCCTTCCTTGGCCAATTGATAACCTCCCATGGCTTCCAATACCACCTCTATGCTGATGACACCCAGATCTATCTCTCCACTCCCCAGCTCACCCCCTCAAGTATCACAAATCTACTAAGTGACATATCAGCATTGATGTCACACCACTACCTTAAATTCAATCTTTCCAAAACCGAGCTTGTAATATTTCCTCCTCCCCGATCCCCCACTCATGACTTTACCATTCAGATCAACAGCACAACCACTGGTCCTTCCCCTCATGCCAGGGTGCTAGGTGTAATTCTAGACTCTGACTTCTCCTTTGGGCCCCACATCCAATCACTGGCTAAATCCTGCTGCTTCAACTTCCGGAACATTTTCAAAATCCGCCCCTTTCTGACCAATGACACCACAAAACAACGTATCCATGCCGTGGTTTTACTGCAACTTCCTCCTCACTGGTCTACCGTTACACAGATTATCCCCCTTTTAGTCTATTATGAATGCTGCTGCTAGACTCAGACAACTTACCAACCGATCAGTAAAATTTACAGCATACAAAGCCATCCACAACACTGCCCCTAGCTACATCACCAACCTCATCCGCAGATATTGTCCAAATCGCTTGCTCTGCTCCTAAGACTCCTTGCTCTTTAGCTCCCTCGTCACCTCCTCCCACGCTCGCCTCCAGAACTTCTCCAGAGCCTCTCCCATCCTCTGGAACTCCCTACTGCAGTATGTCTGGTCAGCCCCCACCCTGTCGGCTTTTAGAAGATCTTTGAAAACCCACTTATTCAGGGAAGCCTACCCCCCACCTCCACCTAAGAACTGTACTTGAACCATCTCCATCAGAACATTGCCTACAGCTATCACCTTTTGTACCACCTCCCCCTTCCTTTAGATTGTAAGCTCCACGAGCAGGGCCCTCCTATTCCTTCTGTACTGAAATGTATTGTAATTGTACTGTCTCCCTTATATTGTAAAGCGCTGCACAAACTGTTGGCGCTATATAAATCCTGTATAATAATAATATAACTGGCACATAATATTCTGTTTTCTTTTGTCCCTGGTTCCCTCTTTCCTTCCTTCTTTCTCTCTTTTCTTCCTCTGTCCTTCTCTCTCTTTTTTTTATCTTTGTACAAAAATGGAAATTTTGGAAAGTAATAAAATATGAAATTTTTACCCACCCATCGTTTATTGCTAATTGTGACCTTCACATGCATTATATTGGTCTTCTTCGATTATTGCTCTATGTAATGTGCATTATTGTTCTATATGCAGTTTGGTTTGAACTCTCAGCTGTGCCTGCGATATTCTGTTCTGTGACTGTATATTTTGCATTTCTCTAAATAATTGAAAAAAAGATAAGTAATGCAATTATTTGCTGCTGGATGAAGCAGGTCACAATCCTTTTGCCATAAAATATAAATAAAAGTGGCTAATACAAATATCCCCTGAAGATTGCTGTGATATACCGGCCTCCTGGATCCATACCCCGCTTCCTGGAAGACTTCTCCTCCTGGCTACCCTTCTTCCTCTCCTCTGAGCTACCCCACCACCATCATTCTTGGGGATTTTCAACATCCCTGTCAACCTTGACAACCCAGACACAGCCCGTCTCCTCCTCCACTTAACCTCCTCCTTTGCACTTGCACAGTGCATACACCCACCACCCATCCACCACCCACTCCGACGGAATATCCTTGATCTTGTCTTCTCCAACACCGCTGCGCTCCAAAAAACAACCTCACTAACACCCCCCCATGCCCCCCACCAGCTCCCAACCCACCACTACCCCCTCCCCCCCCCCCCCCCCCCTAACCCCAACCCCCACGCCCCACCTTCACCCCCCCAACAACCCCCAAATCACCCCCCCACCAAACCACCCCAACTCCACACTCAGCCCCCCCCCAACTCCAACGACCCCCCATCCCCCTCCCCCACCCTTTAACCCAGCCCCCTTGACCTGATCACTCAGGCTCCCCCCCCTTGCCTACAACACGCGCTGACAGCAGCCCTTGACTCACTAGCGCCTTTAACCACACACGCAACATCAGACTCCGACCGCTCCAGCCCTGGCAGACTGATCACACCAAAACCCTCAAACGACGCAGTCGTGCCCTGGAGCGACTATGGCGCAAAACAAAATCCCAACAAGCTTTCACCTGCTACAAATCTGCCTTCCGCACCTACACCTCCTCCCTCCACGCAGCCAAACAAGCCTACTTCCTGACCCTCATCAAGGCCCTCTCCTCCAATCCTCGTCGACTCTTTCTCCACCTTCAACTCTCTACTCTCTCCACCCCCACCTCCACCCAGCACCTCACTCACCCCCCCTTGAGATTGCCAATCACTTCAAAAACAAGATTGACACAATTCGCAAGGACATTACCGCAACTCACACACCCCTCTCAACCCGTCCCCTCTCACACAGCTACCCCTTCATCCCCCCCCCTCCCCCTCGACATTACCCGCAGGGACTTCGTCACTGCTCAAACTCCCTCCAACCCCCGTTCCCCCTCACTCAGCTACCCCCCTCATCACCCCTCTCCCACGGCCCCCCACCACTGCTCTGACCTCCACTCCCACCCCACCCTACATTCCTCATACTGAAGCTCCCCCAACACTCCACACCTTTGACCTTACTACCATCGAGGAAGTCTCCAAGATCCTCTCTGATGCCCGCCTCACCACCTGCCCCCTCGACCCTATCCCTCACACAATTCCTACGACCTCCCTCCCCCTCCATCCTACGCTCCCCTCACCCACATCTTTAATCTCTCCCTCTCCCTGGCCTGGCACTTTCCCCTCCCCACTGAAGCATGCACACATCACCCCCATACTTAAAAAGCCCTCCCTGGACCCCAATGACCCGAACAACCTCAGACCCATCTCCCTGCTCCCACTTACATCTAAACTCCTCGAGCGTCTCGTCTACACCCGCCTATGCTCTCACCTCAACGACAACAACCTCCTCGATCCCCTACAGTCTGGCTTCCGCCCCCCACTACACTCCACCGAAACCGCCCTTACTCAAACTCTCCAACGACCTTCTAACCGCCAAAGCTAATGGCCACTATTCAGTGCTCCTACTCCTTGACCTCTCTGCGGCCTTCGACACAGTTGATCCACCCCCCCCTCCTCCTCAAAATACTACACTCCCTCGGCCTCAGAGATTCTTCTGCTCTCTCCTGGCTCTCATCCTACCTGTCACAACGCTCTTTCAGCGTTACCTATAATGCTACCCACCTCCCCCTCACTCCCCCTCTCTTGTTGGGGTCCCTCAAGGCTCTGTCCTTGGGCCCCTTCTCTTCTCCATCTACACCTCCTCCCTTGGCCAACTCATACACTCTCACGGCTTCAACTACCACCTCTATGCCGACGACACACAAATCTATCTCTCAAACCCCCCACCTCACCCCCTCGTGTCTCTGCCCAAATCACACACCTACTGAGCGACATATCAGATTGGATGTCGCTCCACTTCCTTAAAACTGAATCTCTCCAAAACCGAGCTCCTTGTCTTCCCCCCAGCCCGAACCCCACCCCCCATTGACTTCTACATCACATCACATCCAAAAACGCCAATATCAAACCCGCTCTGCAGGCCAGAGTACTTGGTGTCATTCTGGACTCCAACCTATCCTTTCCAGCCCCAAGTCCAATCTTTAACAAACTCGTGCAGACTCCACCTCCGCAACATCGCCAAAATCCGCACGCACGTTCCTAACCCCAGAAACCACTAAACAGCTCATCCACTCCCCTCATCATATCACGACTCGACTACTGCAAACTCCCTCCTCACTGGCCTGCCTCGCCGCTGGCTATCCCCCGCTTCAGTCGATCCTGAATACGGCTGCCAGACTCATTCACCTTTCCAACCGCTCCATCTCCGCCACCCCCCCCCTCTGCCAATCCCTCCACTGGCTTCAGATTGCGCAACGGATCAAATTTAAAATCCTAACACTGACGTACAAAGCTGTCCACCATACTGCCCCGAACTACATCACTGACCTAATATCCAAGTACCCCGCCCAGCACGCACACTCCGCTCCTCACAAGACCTCCTTCTCTCTAGTTCCCTGGTCTCCTCCCTCCCATGGCCCGCCTCCAGGACTTCTCCAGGGTGTCACCCATCCTCTGGAACTCCCTGCCCCAACCCATCAGATTATCACCTATCTCTCCTCTCCTTTAGGCGCACCCTGAAAACCCATCTCTTCAGGGAAGCCTACCTCACCCCCTGCTAACTTGCTGACCTCCTCCACTCTTCCTACCACTCCATCCCCCACAGCTATCTCCTCCTGTACCACTGCCCCATCCCTTCTAGATTGTAAGCTCGAAAGAGCAGGGCCCTCGATCCCCTCATGTTTTGCATTGTATTGGTATTGTTCTGTCACATGTTCTGTCCCCCTTTGTAATGTACAGCGCTGAGTGAACTATTAGCGCTTTATAAATACTGTATAATAATAATAATTTGCTGCTGGATGAAGCAGGTCACAATCCTTTTGCCATAAAATATAAATAAAAGTGGCTAATACAAATATCTCTATGTAACGTGTGTTTCTCTCCCTCCAGCCTGCAGTGTCCTCTTTCTTGGCTCTGTGGATACTGAATCTTTGACTGGTCCCCAGGCCATTTCTAAGGCTTCCACTGCCATCTTGACCCCGCCAAGATCTAGCGCAACAACTGTCCATTTCAAAGTGTCTGACCAGGGTATTACACTGACGGACAGCCAGCGCAAGTGAGTATCAGCTAGTGGCTGCCTCTCGCTACACAGTAGGGTAGATTTACTAAGACTGGAGCACTCAGAATCTGGTGCAGCTGTGCATGGTGGCCAGTCAGCTTCTAAGTTCAGCTTGTTCAGTTAAGCGTTGGCAATAAAACCTGAAAGCTGATTGGTTTCTATGCAGAGCTTCACCAGATTTTGCACTCTCCAGTTTTAGTAAAAACAACCCCCAGTGCACCTCCCAGCTCCTTATAGTACTGCAATGTGTTTGTGTGTCTTACAGACTCTTCTTCAGAAGGCATTATCCTGTATCCAGTGTAACATACTGTAGTGCAGACCCGCAGGATCGAAGGTAACACAGTCGTGACTATCTACTTCTAAATTATCAGTCTTCATTCCCACAGTAGAACAATTTCCTTATTACAGGCACTCTTTTTTTTTTTTGCAGGTGGACCAATCCAGACAGGACAACTTCCAAGTAAGTATGAATTGACTGAACTAGAAAATGTCATTGTGAAGCCTTACTGGTTTCCCATAGTACTAATCAATATTTGCATTTTGAGATTACAGTTCTATCTTTGATAGTTTTTATTGTGTGTTTATAATAAAATTAAAATACTGCTGTTCTAAACCTGGGCAGCTAAACAGGGCGTATGATGAAAATAGCATAAGCAGAGGCTTAATGAACACGACCAGCATGGCAGTCACTCCAGAGGCTAAACTGAGACACACAAACATCCAAGGGCAATATATATAAGCTGACATGTTGCACACCATAATTCATACTCCATCTTCCAATAAAAAAAATACTCCATCTTCCAATTAAAAAAAAAAAACCACACCCAAAGCGTTAATTACCCTCTCAGTGATCCAGCAATGCAATCCTTGCTCTCATCAGGTCTCACTGTTCAACTTTCAGGGGGAATGGATCCAGGAAGTCAAGGAAAATCAACTTGCCATAGGTTCACTGGAGAATCCATAATCCATTTAATCTATAATATCCCTGGTGCCCCATCTGCAGCTCTTTAGCATCTCCTAGATTGTAAGCTCGAAAGAGCAGGGCCCTCAATCCCCTCATGTTTTGCATTGTATTGGTATTGTTCTGTCACATGTAATGTACAGCGCTGAGCGAACTATTGGCGCTTTATAAATACTGTATAATAATAATAATAATTAACAGAGATCCCTGCCATTAGTAGACTGTGCTTTGTGTACTCCAGTAGTGAGAGTGTTTCTGCAGTAGTGACTCTCACAAAGCCATGCTTAAACTGTCTCTCCCAGTCAGAATCCTTAATGATTTGGTTAATCTAGATTATGCATCATCTGACAGCCTAGTTTGACACCATCATGGATAAAATTTAATGGCTATGAAATTTTCAGCTGCATTGTAAACTATGGTGAAAATGTCTCCCCAGGATCTAAATCAGCTGGCCAGCAAAACCACTGAAAGTTTTTTACTTATATATATTTTTCTTTTTGCTTGTTTACTTTTTAGGGTGTTCGGCTTTGTGGCTCGGAAAGCGGGTACTGCTGCAGAGAACGTCTGTCACCTCTTTGCTGAACTGGACCCAGAACAGCCTGCATCAGCCATTGTGAACTTTATTACCAAAGTCATGCTGGGCACACAGAAGAGATAGAGAAGCATGGACTAACCAGGAAGTTGGGGACAAAATTTCCAGATGTACCAAAATTCAGGGGGTGGAATGTTATTGACAATCAAATAGCGATGATCCTTCTCTACTGCCCAGATAAAACTTCACTCTGCCTCTCTGCACTACACAAAAGACAGAAGATCGGTATTGCTCCATTAATAGGAAATAGTTTACATTTTGACTATTTGCCTGACCTGCAATGTAATCTGATCTCTTCCTTTAAACGTGGTTACTCATAGCATTTTGGGATTATTCCAGGTGACAAGAAAAATCCAAATATGAACTGGCTGTGGATGAGTTGCCTTATGTGTGGGACAGTTTAAAGTCACCTTTAATGTGGTTACCCTAAATGTGTTTCACAGCCAGCAGGAAACTGACAATGTATTTAGGTAGGAATGCAGAATCTTTTCATATGAGTCTGCTCTGTAATGCTCTAATGTATGTGGAAATGTCTGTAGCCTGCTTCTAGAGAGGAGGTGCTGGATCCAAGCCGACCCCCAGGTCCATTCAGAAGATGAGGTTACCAGCACTACAAGGGCCTAGGTAGAGAGGCAGCTTTCTGTACATTCTGCAGGTGGGCTGTGTGATCCAAGACATCTACCATTCACGATTTTTCACATTTTAAAAGTAAACCCCCATAAACTATATAAGCATATATAGACTGGAGTATAATCTGGGCTGCTAAGGGACAAGTGTCTTTGTGCAATGCAATAGTGAAGACAAATGCACTGAATCTACATTTACTGGAAAAGGCTTATGTATGAACAGAAATGGATTTCAGTCTAGACAATGAAATTTGGGCCCTACTGCACTCAAGCTTCTTTGTTAAGATTTGTTATACTTTAAGAGGCTATTACTGGATACAATAGAGAGAGAACCACTGATAACTATCCTTTACTTTTGCACAGTCCAAAATTAGGGCAATAGCACACAGACTGGGAAGCTGGCATCAACACTGATGAACAGATTCATGTACAGTCAGTGTTCCAGTAGAATGCAAAGAGCAGTGATGATTTGGAAAGCACAATTACCCACAGCAACCATTCCTAAGTCCTCTTACTGGATTCAACAAATAGGCAATAGATCTGTTATATCAGGGAGGTTGCTGAACATAGAGCTCTCAATGACTGACATCAGAATGTTAGGTGGACAGATCAGAATAAAGTGGAACTCGGGATTACTCAGAGAAGTTATGTTTGGAGAAATCAGAACATTCAGAGAAAGATCAAATCTCATCTTGCAATGATGAAAAACCAAGATTTGGAGCTATACAGTAATGCAGGACATCTTGTAGCCTGGCTGGGAATGGTATAGCAAAGAACCATTCATAAACTGACTATTACTAGAATGAAGACAAAACAGTAAGAAAATATGTGGTCTAAGATGAGAGAAATCTGTAAGCCAGGTCCATATTTACCATGATGACACTCATGGGGCAGTGCCTAGAGCACCAGGGTTACAGAGGTAGTATTAAGTCTCAATGGTTACAAAATCAAATAAAATTTTTGTTATTTTGTTTCAGTCATTTGGCCATCGCTGGGCATTTGTGGCTAAGGTCAGCAAGAGAACTGTCAGAGAAGGTGATGTCAAGAGGAGTTAGAAGACTCTTGTAGTTAGAAAACAGGAACATATCTGTTTGTTTTATTTGGTGGTCAGTATCTCTGCATATAAAGCAGACCAAGCAGCCATTGTTAGCAAATTCTATTCGTTTTTAGTAAAGTGATCACGACACGTGGGTCAAAACTTCTTAGAAAAAAGACCTTTGTATAAGAACTGAGCGGCAAGTGTAGTATGCTTTTAGTGAGCGGGTATTTTAAGTTATTAGTGCAATGTTCCAAATAAAGCATTCACATTTTTCTACTATTTGTAACACCTTGTTATTATTGCATTAGAGACAGATTTGTAGATGTTTGCCTCTTTTCCTCTCAGTTTTTCTATGGTATTAGATACCATATTTCCGTTACATATGGAATCCATTGATTGCTATAAGTAGGATTTATACGGAGAAATAAAAAAAAAATAGAAAAGGGACGATAAGGCACAACCTGTAAGCAAGAAACACAGCTGACATATGTAATGGGCAAACATTTCTACTCATGTACTTGTAGAAATGATTAACACACATTAATACAGTTTAAATCAAGCTGAGCACTTGTATTTCTAAATACATTAAGACTTTATTTTCCCCTAACAGCCTATGGGAGTATTCAGGAGGCATGTAGACTCCATCCAAGCCAGTCATAGTGGGGATGACTATTCTATCATATGTGGTAGAAGACAGGGGAAAGCTTTAATTACTTACTCTGGGCAGCACACGCACTTGCCCCTCCTTATTTACTGACACTTATAATACATTTATTTCTCGTCCTGCAGACCCTTGTTTAGAGTGCAAGAAGGTAGCAAGTTGTTTGAAAGTTCTCACACTACTAACAAGGCCAGTGAATATTGGATCAGATTGTGCCCGTTACTGTGACTGGAGAGATCCACATTACACGTAGTTTGGCAGTCATCCCCTTTTTTTGTTTGCGAAGCTCTTGTTTATACAGTTATGACTGTTAATACGTATATCTTAGCTTCTATCCAGAGTTGTGTTGTAGGGCATTAGGAGGATTGCCAATGTTGTGCTAGATTGTCTTCCTGGTCAGATACAAGGCTGTAGTTACTGTGGGTCTTCCATCAGGAAGTGCCAGAATTCCAATTTTTATCTTCAGGAATTCATAAACAATGGAATGTATGATCAATATAATCAAACCCTTCCTGCCAATATCAACCCAACTTCCAAAAATATGCCTAGATGTGCATCTAGGGCACAGTTAGAAGTCTCTGTAGGAGAAATGGTATAGTCTTAGCAGAGCCAGTAAACCCTATGTAACAGGACAAACTGGGTAAGTCCTAGAGATGGGAAAATTGGCATCTGTGGTACCTTCTGCAATGCTCCCACCCACTGCTTTGACCCAGGTCTTGTATCTGTACCTGTCCTTTAGTATCAATATTTTGTACATAGTGTGTGTGTGTGTGTATATATATATATATATATATATATATATATATATATATATTTCTTACATTCAGATTGAGCAAAATCAGTTCCATTTTGTGTTGTTGGATGAGCAAGTTTTTGTTGACTGGTAAGGGCATGGTGGAGTTGGTGAGACCTGAAGAACATAGATCTAGGAAGAGAAAATTCAGTCTGTGTTTCCTGGAAAGACTTAAGTACCTTATTAAGATAAAAACCATGACAGACAATACTTTCAGCTTTTTTTAGTGTCTGATCCCTGTGTGTCAAACATTTTCTGTTAGATATTTAAATGAGTATTCCCTATTTGTGAGATAATAAAGTCCTTATGTTTATGGATTATTTTTATACGGAACCAAATCTTACAGGTTAAGGGTTAAGTGATGTATACATTTTAGAAAAGCTCCAAACTCCTAAAGTGAAAGATCAGCTTGTGCATAAACAAGAGGGATGTTAGAATCCTGTCCACTAAATTCTGCTGCCCTTTCCAAAAAGGATTGTTTCTCATTTTGATCTGACGTTTAGATCTCTACAAAATTAACTTCCAAGTGTAATAACATAACTTTTCATGCTAGTATTGTGGAAAATAGTGGCAGACAAAAGCATCAGTGGGGATATAACCAAGAATTTTTGTACATGAACTCTGTGGTCTATATAACAAGGGGTATGGTAGAGGTGTGTCCCCATATCCTTTGTTTCCCAGAACATTAAAAGTTATGACCAGTGGCCCTTATAGTAGTTACCATGATATATAAAAAAAAAAAAAAAATATCTAGCAGCGAGAGACTGGCCTAAAGTGTTACTAAACCCAGGACTGTGCATCCACTCTGTCCGGTCTCTCATACTACATGGAAATGTGATTATTTTAGTAAATATAAACTGCTAAATACCTTTTCTCATCAGCAGTTAGAGCAGTCTTGTGACTTCTATCAGTGTTCAGCAGAGCACTGGTTAAAGCTTGTAGGAAGAGTTTTCTTTCTGCTCTAGGAGGATGTAGAACCCCTGACCTATATCTGGACAGCACCGATTGGCCCTGTGCTGATTACATGCACTCTCCCAAAAAAAGCAAAAAAAAAAAAAAACACCGCTCTAGCAATACACACCAAACTGAGCATGTTTAGAGTATCACCACATGATATATCTCATCAGGAGATAATAGGGGGACACTGGAAGAAGGGGAGGATCAGAGAAGTCCGGATCAAACAGCCTTTTTACATGATGCAGAGAATTAGCCCCTAAGGTTCCACAATGAGTATAACAAGCATGCTTTATTGCATCTACAGACTGATTTTACGGTTGTGGGTTTAGTAACACTTTAAGGCCCTTTGTAGATCGGTGTCAACAGGGGCCCCTAACAGTCCTTATACATGCTAGGCATTATCAGGTGCTGCAGTTCATAGAGTATACCTAACCAATTATTTGCATTGCTTGTACCTAAAGATGTTACAAAGCTTTGTGGATGCAGTGCAGTAGAAGTCACATACAGTTAGGTCCATATATATTTGGACACAGGCACAATTTTCATACTTTTAGCTCTGTATGCCACCAGAATAAATTAAAAACAAAACAATCCAAATTAATTTGAAGTGCAGACTTTCAGCTTTAATTCAAGGGGTTGAACATAAATATCAAGTACAAATTTTAGGCACGGCCACCATTTTTATACACAGTCCCTCCCTTTTCAGAGGCTCAAATGTAAGTGGGCAAAAGAATATAATCATAAATAAAATGGTAATTTTTTATATTTTGTTGAGAATCCTTTTACGGACAATGACTGTCTGAAGTCTGGAACCCATAGACATTACCAAAGACTGGGCTTCCTCCTTTCTGATGCTTTGCCAGGCTCCAACTGCAGCTGTCTTCAGTTGTTCTTTGTAGGTTTTTCTGCCTTTTTGCCTTCAGCAAGTGAAATGCATGCGCAATTGGGTTGAGATCAGGTGATTGACTCGGCCATTTCAGAATATTGCAC